GCAGTTGAAATTTCTGTGGCACGATGATGGTTTGGACAGGTTGAGGGAAAGAATGAAGTCAGGTATACTTGATGAGATTAAAACGGATGGTAAATAGGTGAAAAATCTACATTGAGTCCCATAACATGCTATACCTAAGGGACACGGACTAATTGGTGAAATGGACAATAAAAAGAACTTATGGTTTACATTCGTTAGTTAAAAAGGTTTCTACATCCCAATTACCTAACGACTAGGTAAAACAATAAAAAGAGCTCGTTGTAAGGGTTTCGTAATTCAGACGAGCTCCGCCTTTTAGATTTTCTACTTCAGACCAGTTAAGTTTTAATGCTACGTACACAGAGTTGAATCACCCATATTTCCCCCGTGTTCCATTTGTAAGGAGGAAGTTCTACCCAGAGAGCTTCATTTCCTCTACAAGAACTGCTACCTTGCGTAATAGATTCTCACATCGATGCTTCCTTGAACAATACAATCTTAACCTCTTTAAGTCAACGGTCAGTCACTATCTATCATCCTTATTCCTATTCCCTTCTTTCGCCGCTTACGTTCATATTACACACCTCATTTAGTAACCCTCTGCTATGAGTGGCCCTTGAGCCTTATATTAGCTTAACTTTTTTATAATAAAAAAAGAAGAAACATTATAACGAATGGAACAGTTTATTTTATGGTCGTTTGTACACTGAAGTATTTAGGGGAAGATAGTCTAGCTGTGCCTGACCCTCTTCAGGTCGGTTTTAAAATTAGATTCAGCTCATCGACATGCCTGCCCCCTCCGAAGGAAACACGTTTCTGAAGTTTGTCAAACTCTTGCGCTGGGTTGTTTTTTGCTATATTTAGAAATTGCTATTATTAATAATATTAACAATCAGAAGGAAAATATGAAACGCTATAATAAATTTCAAACTAATTTTATGCTATAACGACAACGAGGTTTCAGTTAAATTATGGCTCCAATCCAGTTTTTTTTAAGCGAAATGGAAGACCTCTAGCGGTCAATCTACGAACTGATCATGGCAGATTTAACATTTTCTTTAACATTTAACAGGTTTTTTCTTTCTTTATTTTTCTTTACAAAAATGTTTTCACAATGCAGGGAGAAGGTTACAGAGTAAGAGGCACAGTTTATGCGGATATGTGTAGAAGATAACGGTTGAACAGGTTAAGATTGTAGTGATCGGGGAATCATCCTTTTGGGATTATGTTCCCCAAAGCAGGTAGAGGGTTGCAGAATAATGGCCCAGTTTATCCGGATAGGTCGAGAAGATAACGGTTAACCCTAGACATAAACAGGTTAAGATTGTAGTGATCGGGAAAGCATCCTCTTGGGAGTCAGTTTCAGAAAACAAGGTGAGGGTTACAGAATAAGTGTCAGGGTTTATGCGGATAGGTGGGGAAGGTAAAGATTAACCCTAGACATGAACAGGGTAAGATTGCAGTGATCTGGAAAGCAACCTCTTGGGAGTCTGTTCCACAAAGTAGTGGTTCTTTGAAAGAAGGTACTCGAATGGAACTTACATCTCACGAATGGCATGCGATGGGAATGAGGGTTGCTTGCTACAATGGGCGGGGCATGGAGAGTCTTAGTTGTTACGTTTAGAACTGATGGAACTAAGGAATGTCTTATTTTGTCTTGTGTGAAAGGGTTTTTAGGGTGGAACATAATTAATCACTCAAAAGGCCGCGTGCACGCTTTTGAATCCTATTGAGATTCTGTAAAGTTGGAGGATAGCAGGAGGAGTCTGGTACTTCGTGAGTCCGCCATTTTCCTAACATCTTTAGCGATGAATCGTATGTGCGAGTTATACTTGGGGGTCTGGATTGAGTTTAAGTCCCATCAGATGCTTAAGGCACAGGGACACGTGAAAACACCCGAACAATAGGTAAAAATTCAGCGTCCGCTCCGTGATGCTGGAACGTCTTCTGTTTGGTTTTCAAGCAATTGAATGTGACCAGCCATTTTTCACCTCTCTGAAGTTCAGATGAGAGATCAGCTTCCAAGCACGGGTCATCTAGAATTTTGGCGGTGCATCCATATACACCTGTGGATTGAAGGGGTGCAGCTATATATATATATAAAAAAAAGAACAAAAAAAATCAAAAACAGACGAAAAGGGTAAGCATTTATCACAATATAGTTTGTCCTTGTGATCGTATCGTCGATTGGCTGCCCGAGACATTAAGAAAGTGTATCTGCATTAGAAGCCATAAAATGGGTTCTAAATAAAGAAACTATGACAGCATCGTAACTGATCATTTTCCTGTGTCCGTGTCTGTCGTCACGGAGCCAAGAGTTCTGGAACACTCTAACATGCAAATGCTAAAATAGATAGATAAAGATATTTAGAAAGGGAGAGGAGGTATGCAAATTATAGGGAGAGGAGGGGCAAAGACAGAAAGGGATAAAGAAACAGAGATCTAAAAGAGAAAACGAGCATGTTTGTTTGCGTGTATATATATATATATATATATATATATATATATGTGTGTGTGTGTGTGTGTGTGTGTGTGTGTGTGTGTGTGTAGTAGGAGGAAGTGCAATAAAGCAAGACGGCTATAGAAAGAAAAGAGTGACAGAAAAAGGAAATGAGAGATAAAAAAATGGAGAAAGCAGGTAGTGATAGAAAGAGAAAGATATATATATATATATATATATATATATATATATATATATATATATTATATATAGTTATATATATGGTATAAAATGACAATTGGAAAAAAAAATCTTAGATTTTGCCGACGCGTTTCGTCTTCCGACTTTTTCAAAGGCGAAAATGAAATCGAAATGTTTTTGCTGTTATAGTTACATTAAAAATCCAAATTTAAAAAGATAGACGCTTGTGTCTAAGGCTTTTCATCCGGGAATTTTAGTATATATATATATATGTATATATATATATATATATATATAAAGAGAGAGAGAGTGAGGGGGGAGAGAGATAGTAATAGAGAAGCAAGCAAAAAAAGGGGGAAAGTGTAATCGGCAAAGAAATAAATTTAGAGTCGAAGTAGAAGAGACGCAGAGATATAGAGAGAGGCAAAGGACAAAGGGAAAAAGATAGAAAGGGATAGAAATAGAGCAATTGAAAAAAGGAGAGAAAAAGAGTGAGAGAGAAAAGATATATAGAGATATAGAGAGATAGAAAAGACAAAGGGAAAAACATTTAAAAAAAAGATAGAAAAGAGAAAAAGGAATGCGAGAGTGCGTGATGGTAAGAGAGAGAGAGAGAGGAAACAGTGACATAGATAAGAAGAGATCATAATATCAAGTATTGTTAAATTTAGATCCCTGTTATATATATATATATATATATATCCCTGTCGATCTATAGGCCGGTAGACATTAATTTTACATTCATAAACAAAACAAAAAACTAAATTAAAACAACAAAAACAAAACAGGGATACTCATACACAAATGCTTAGTAAATGTACCCATTTATATTAATAAGAAATAATTTTGTTCCATTCTTAATATATATATATATATATATATATATATATATATATATATATTCTGTCACATGGTTTTATGCTAATTAGGTTTTAGTGGTTTTATCAATAAATATTGTTTCGTGTCATTTCCTCTTTAGCCAGATTACCCCCTCATGATCCGTTTAGGCGAAACCTAGGTAGATTGCTCTTTAGGATTTATTTAATTTATCCCTGCTCTGCTTAGCGTATTGAGCACTCTATGTTTTAGTTTTATTACTTGTTTGGGGTTTTCTCTTTGGAATAAAAACTTAAGGCTCTGGACGATTTGTTTCGCCCTGTTCGGATGTTTCTAGTTCTTTCTTTTGTTTTTCCAATTTTTTTTCCTCAGGTACCAATCATTTATCGTCACTTGCCACTGTGAGGCAAGTGACGATAAATAAAAGGAAATGTTGTGTAGCTACATCAAATTCATATATATATATATATATATATATATATATATATATATATATATATATATATATGTGTGTGTGTGTGTGTGTACTAGCAGCATGGCCCGGCGTTGCCCGTGCTTGATTCAAAATTCGTACGACTCATACAGCAATCGCTATCATTTGACATAAAATATTTTTGCCGTTCCTTGCCTTTAAATGATTGCCCTTTGCCGTGCTGATGTTGCTACATGCCTTACTTCTTGCCTATCTCACGCTGCAAATTTTTTCTAAGCTGTATACTTAACAGTAAATCTGTTACGAAAAAAGAACTAAACAAAATGAACACAAAACGACCAGCTTTAAAAAATGACTCATAACTGGAAAAACCGAATGCAAAAAGAATGTTAACAACAAATACTTTTTCACACCCAACCCAGTTCTGCGGAATCAGAATCAACGTTGAGTTTAAGCAAGTGAATGAGCCAATTGGAGTAAAGTGCCATGCAGATTTAAATTTTTCCCACTTGTGACGAATGCAGCTATCGATTTTTTTTGCTTTGCATGCTAGCATGCTAGTTAACATTCGTGTCAGTCAGCTGTTGGCTCTCACGCTGGCCAATAGAATCTTCCTGCCTATTCGTGGCAGCCAACTATTGGCTCTCACTCTGGCCACTAGAAAATAGCCGCAAGCTATATGAAAAGTGCCGTAGAAGCATGAAAAAAATCGATTATTTCCACTATCGATGGGAGTTGGGAAATGCAAGGTTGGTCTTGGCCTTCCCGCTAACTTGGAGTATGTGCATGTAAATTTTGGTGCAAATCCGTCAAAAATTGCGGCCGTGCATCCGTTACTCCTTTTTGGCTCATTTGAATTCATGTACAGCCGGTCCTCGACTTACGTCAGAAATCAGTTCCTTCGGCGCTACGTAACCTGATTTTTGACGTAGGTCAGAACTCACCTACATTAGCACCCAGGAGTCTGCCTTATGCTTGGTAGCTCTAATGAAGGTCCAAAAGATCCCCCAAAATTGACACAAACGAGAGATAGCGAATGTAGCAAAATCCAATATGGCGTACAGCCGGTGAAGAAACAACACCGTCTTCTACATATAACGCCGCGGGACGATGTATCCCATAGGATTTATTTCCTTAAACAGTCTATCTATCTATCTATCTATCTATCTATCTATCTATCTATCTATTTTCAGAAGAATCAATTTTGTTTTTCTTTTATGCAATTATTATCACCCCTTCCGTTCCGCCACAGGCACTCGCGTCAAAATACTGACGGAGTCCAGTCCACTGTCAATAATTTTGATCTATCTATCTATCTATCTATCTATCTATCTATCTATCTATCTATCTAAGCCTGTTCTCATCTATCTCAGTTTGTTCATATCTGTCGATCTGTATGTTTGTTTATCTATCTCAATCTTTTTATATCTATGTGAATTTACAGTCTTTCTTTCTCCCTATCTCTCTCTCTTTCTCTCTCTCTCCCCTCTCCTCTCTCTCTCTCTCTCTCTCTATATATATATATATATATATATATATATATATGTATGTATGTATGTATTCATGTGTGTGTGTATGTGTTTGTTTCAGTAGACTCAATTTTGTTTTTATTTCTGCCATCTTGGTTCATCATCTGCCTTCTACGCCTCGCCATTCCCGCCAAGAAAGAAATATCCACGGAAGTCTACTGTCAATTATTTTTGCCTTATCTCTCTCTCTCTCTCTCTCTCTCTCTCTCTCTCTCCCACCTCAGTGTGTGTGTGTGCGCGCGCGTGCGTGTTTTATACAATCAGTTTTACTTTTATTTCTGTTTTCAAAAATAACACATCTGAAATATCCATCGTGAGCGAAATCCACTTATCAATTATTTTGTCTTTTCGGACGACAGTCCAGCCTGTTTTCCTTCTTTCTTCTTCTTCTTCTTGACACTAATAAAAAAGAATTAAAAAACAAAACAAAAAAAAAAACAATAAAAAATACCAAATAAATAAGTAAATCAACAATGTCCAATTTTACCGTTTCTTTCGTCCTCTTAGCTGGTCATCTGCGTCAATTACCACCGAATCGACTTCTAATGTTGATGTCGCAAAATGTCTTCGAAAAAGAACGACTCCATTTACGTGAAAGTTTCTCAAGTGTATTTTCTGTTTAAATACTTTCTTTTATTACCAGTGTGAAGTCTCATCACTACTATATTTAGTAGAACAATGTTAATGGTAATATCCTTGTAATGGTAATGGTAATGGTTATATCAGCCATTTTCTTTATAAAGAAATATTTGACCTTCATTGATCCTGCGCCATGTACTACTGTCCGTTGAAGTATATATATTTCCATAATTTCAAGGCAGTAAAGCCACTAAGACACAAGGGGGTTACAGAGTGTGGATCAGAAACATTAATAATAATAACAAGAAAGTGGACAGTAGATAGCGATTGACATTGCATTTAAATTTTTGCAGATTTAAAGTTGGCTGGAAGGCATGGAGCCGGAAGTGATTTCCGCAAGTGAGAAGCGAAACCGTTAGCATAGAATTTACGGTTACATCTAGTCAGCTCAACTGTAAATTGATAAAATCTCGACGCCAGTCATGTATTGCGGTTAAAGTTAGAAGTCTAGGTCCCATAGCGACAACCTCATTTGAACAATTACCATAAAAGTATTTTTTTAGAAAAGGCACAGAGAGGCAACCTTATGGCGGTGGGAAAATGACTGAAGCCAAGCCGCCAGATCAGGACCAATAATATTGCTGATTCTTCTTTGGATTTTATCAAGGTAAATAGCAAGGGTACTCGACCATATGTGGCAGCAATATTCTAAGTATGGACGCATGGCAGACTTATAGATATGTAAGATAGATTCTAGAGAGAAACTAATGGACAGTCGAGACAATAGTGTCTGGGTATGATAAAATCATGCAATCACAGATGACGCATTATTTTTCAAAGCCAAATAAATTTCATTATACACCCCGAAAATACATTCATATTATTGCACACTACTCCAAATGAACTAATCTGAGGAAAAATATAGAAATTGATTACACCCTGTCACCCCAGTGGGTCTAAAACTGACTGTATGGTGAAAGAAAAGAAACTAAATCGGTTGTTTTAATTAATTTGCACAAGGGTGTTGGTTTCTTAAATTGCTTTTTCCAGTACTTTTGTTTAAAGTAATTACGGTGGAGTAATGAATCGGAGAGCCGAGTTCGAATTCCGGTTGGATCCGTTACATTCACTTATATGCTAATACTAATCTGGAAAGGTATGAATCCTTTTCTTCTCCCTCCAGCTATGGGTAAATAGCAGGACATGTTATTCATGATGACGGTCGTCTTCGAGTATAGAATCCAGAGGTTAGCAGTGAATATTTCGAAGACAGTAGGAAAGCGTTGTTCAGGTTAGCAGTGGATATTTCGATAAAAGTAGTAGAGCATAGTTCGTCCTTCTGTTATCTCTTCGTTTGACAAGCTGGCACTGGACATTCGGGTAGGGTAAACAAAATGGCCGCCTTTATACACGACGGATTGAATGTTCTACGTCTTCTGATTGGTTAACCTTCTATTGGTGGACTATAAAGTGAGTCAAGTCATTTGGATTGGCTCACTAGTACATGTTATACACAAAAAACTGCAACAGGACAGACCAGGTTTTATAGCCTTGGATGGCAACTGGTCTACCGCAGAAAGAAATGGCAAAAAAATACTCCGGAAAAAAAATCAGCCTCGTCAGTCATATATCGAAAAGATACATGATCGCCTAAGCGTGTATCACGCATAGCACATAACTGAGTATAGAACTTCAACTTTTGAAATCGTTCAGACGATCCATCGGGAAAGACGCTGGAAAAATGGTCGGTTCCCTGACTCCTGATATCGTCTACATTTGCAAGATGTTGTTAGGCTAGAAAATAGTGTAATGCTGCCGTTTATGGGTAGGAGCTGCTCAGTATTCTCTTTTCAGTTTCCCGATAGAGACCAAAAACGTCTACGCGGCCTTGCGGGTGATTAATCATTTTCCACCCTACAACCCTTTTCCCACAGAAAAAAAGAAAACGTTGCAAACCCCCGTGATACTCTGTTTCTGTGCCAAATGTCCAGACAAACTACATTCCTTAGTTCTACCAATACTAACCCTCGCGGCTATGACCTGTCACACCGCTTACACTGAGCCAAACCTCACGCCCTTCCTAGTTCATTAGTAAAAAGTAAATTCGCCTCGAACAGTATCTTCCCACGAACCACTATTTTGTGAAACAGAATTGCAAGTAGATGCTTTCCCGACATCTACGATTTTAACCTCATCAATTCTAGGGCTCACCGTTGTCTTTCCTACATATCTTCATAAAATGCGCTTCTTAACGTTCACACACCTTCAGTATCTATTTATCTTGAGTGACTCTTGGGTCTTTTATATGGTGAACATTAGTAAACAAATAAATAAATAAATTGTTGTAACCCAAGGAGAGCTACTGAATAGAATAATCAAACGAAGGTTGATAATGAACGATAATACTCAGAACATGAACAACGCATATAAGATTCGCCAGCGGCGCGTAGAAGAAGTATTCAACTGCTAGAAATGAGTCAAGTGAATGCTATAATGAATCTCCAACTGCAGGATATCTACCAACTGCTCCACGCGGTCAGATGTGGCACAAAGCTGAATTTAATGTGGGGTATCTGAGCTCGTAGGCTAGGCCAAATTTTCCCCG